TATGTAATTGTATTAATGCGGACATACCTTTTAGCACAGCTCACGATACGTGGCAGGACTCGCGGCCTAACTCATTGAAAACCACAAAAGTAATCGCCGATTATTTCAAAAGGTTCAGCAAAAACAAATTGGTTATACCGGCGATTGGCAATCACGTGGCCGTTCCGGTGGGCAGGTATGACATGTGCTCTCTATGTGTTATTTCATTCATTATAATGGTTTGGTTTCAATAGTTTTCCTCCGCCTTCACTGCAAAATCAATTCTCCATTTCATGGCTTTTTGATGAATTGTCTGAACACTGGTCTAAATGGTTGCCAAAAGAATCGCTGGAATCGTTTTATTAGTAATTAAATTTTTAAATAATTATCATTAATATACTATTTAAATATGTTTTGTTTTGCAATTTTATGATTAATTCAGTGCCGGTTATTATACCGTAAGAGTAAAGCCGGGATTTCGGGTAATAGTAGTGAACACCAATTATTGCGCGCGACTCAACATTTGGACGTATTATCAACCGATAGATCCGGCGAATCAACTCAAATGGCTGTCATATCAGTTAGATTTGGCCGAAAAGGCCTCAGAGTTTGTCCATATTGTGGGACACATACCACCCGACAATCGGGAGTGCACTCAGGGCTGGCTCTATAACTATATGGCAATCATTGAGAGATACAGTGATGTAATTAGGGGTCAGTTTTACGGACACACACATTATGATGAGTTTAGAGTCCTTTATTCGGTCAGTAATTATACAAAACCCATTGGATTAGAGATCGTTAGCCCGAGTTTGACCACGTATTCCGAGTCAAACCCCGCCTATCGTATCATTAAATGCAAAAATAATGGTAAATATGCGTTCATTTTATTTTGATCTAGTTTTTATTTTTATGTTAATATTATATTTACATAATAAGGTTATATATAACACAATTAATTTTAATCTATTTTTGCATTATTTGACATTTACAAAAAATTAATTTGTAAAAATTAACTTTAATTTAACAAAATATAATTTCCGAAAAACAAGAATTAGAATATAATTATTGAACCGAAAATAAACAACACATAAATTTAACAAATTATTGTGAAATTGATGACAAAAATACAAAATCATTAATAAATTGTTTCAATTAAAGGTTTGATCACAGATTTGGAGACATTTACGTTTGATTTGTCGGAAGCGAACCGACACTATAGGTCTGAACCCAATTGGTATCGCGAGTACTCTATGGCTGACGTGTATTCACTCAAACACTTTGATGGCCACACGTTTGATGAGCTGATCCGTCAGATGGACACCGATAACAATGTTTTGCAAAGTTTTTACACTTATAGCCGCCGACAGAGCTCTTACGCGAAGAGTGTTTGTGACGGCGGATGCAAATCAAAGATATTAAGCGACACAACAATCGGTAATCCTTTCGATGAAAAACTCAAACCACTCTTGGATTCTGTGGTCAGAAGTCAAGTGTATTTTAATGAATACCGAAGAAATTCTTCAAATTCCGTGTCAACTGTCAAATGATATTTATTTTCAATAATTATTATGTATATTATTATTGAATATTGTTTAATAAACAGTGTTTTCTATTGACATCTTTTGGGTATTAATTTGACGGTTAGATAAGAGAGTAATTCTTGGGGCAAATTCTGGTGTATTTGTTGCCATCGAAAGCAGTTATATCTCAATAAACAACTTCTGGACAATTGTTTTAATGTAAAACTGTTGTCAAATGGTTTGAATTGATAGATATTTAAGGGATCACAACCCGATTGAAGCAATTTCTTGATAACTAGACGTTTGTTTTGCTCACAAATTGAGCGCTCATTAAAGGCACAGAATAGTGGCGTTCGGTTGAGACGGTCTCTGCAGTCGGGATCACATCCGCTGTCCATCAATAGTGATATCAATGACAACACTGTCTTTACGTCTTCAATATTGACGACCGCGTAATGCAAAGCAGTTTTGCCAAAATTATTCCTCTTATTAATTATATTAAGCTTTTGTGACTATTATTTGAAATGATATAATAATTGTTTTGTAAATGAAATCAAACAGTTTTTACAATGTGGTAAAAGAGTGGTCAAACCTTGCAGTAGTAAAGCATTAGTTTTAATATGACTATTGAATAGTGATTTTCTGGTCCAAAGCTAAGTAAAGACTTTGAATCAGTTGTCAAGTGATGTGTTGTCGACTGGAAGAGTATATGTAAAGGTGTGTTGCCATTAATGTCCGTCACATTTATGTTTATTTCTGCTTATTTTAATTACAATTAAATGTAATGACAAATAAATATGTATTAATACTATATGAATAGTAATATGCTGAAATGCAATAACTAATTCATTCATTTAACACTTTGAATCAAATCATCATATAAAGTCATCGTGGTTGAAGCATTGAATATATTGATTTAGAGTGTATTATGAAAGAATGAGTTATTGCATTTCAGCATATTACTATTCATATAATATATAATCATGCTTGATTGTCGTATATGATTATATGCAAACAAACATTCTTATATTACCGGTATATAATTTTGATTTTGATAACTAATGGTAAAAATATATCCCATTTAGTTATGGCCTGAATCTGATTGTCTGAAGTCATCGGTAATAATGAGGGAATGTATTGATGGCCACAACTATGATGTTCTCAATTATTTATTATACAATTCCTTCGTTAATATCAATACTATTGTCGATCAGTACGGATGGACTGCTTTTCATAGGGCTGTCTATAATAAAGACAAAGACTTTGAATCAGTTGTCAAGTGATGTGTTGTCGACTGGAAGAGTATATGTAAAGGTGTGTTGCCATTAATGTCCGTCACATTTATGTTTATTTCTGCTTATTTTAATTACAATTAAATGTAATGAGAAATAAATATGTATTAATACTATATAATATATAATCATGCTTGATTGTCATATATGATTATATGCAAACAAACATTCTTATATTACCAGTATATAATTTTAATTTTGAAAACTAAACTAAACATAAGTTAAAATAATAATGAGAGAGAGAGAGAGAGAGAGAGCGAGAGAGAGAGGGAGAGAGAGAGAGAGAGATGAGTGAAACAAACCGTATTTAATGAGCAAAACAATTAGATCGATGTCTTTATTATAGACAGCCCTATGAAAAGCAGTCCATCCGTACTGATCGACAATAGTATTGATATTAACGAAGGAATTGTATAATAAATAATTGAGAACATCATAGTTGTGGCCATCAATACATTCCCTCATTATTACCGATGACTTCAGACAATCAGATTCAGGCCATAACTAAATGGGATATATTTTTACCATTAGTTTTCAAAATCACTTTTTTGTCGTTTAATTGCTTATTATCTGTCGTCAGAGACTAAGTTATGGTGTATTTCTTTAATATCTATACAATTAAAATGTTGTGTTTTTTGTCTAAATTATTTATTTGTTCCTTAAATGACAAATGATTACAAATTTGTGTTTAATTTACGATTAATTTGAGTACCTTTTTATATTCTAAATCAATTATAATGAGGTTAAATATAAAAGTTAATATTTGGCAAAAATAACTAAAACTTTTGGTTATCTAAATATCTCATTAAAATTCTTTAATTATGTTAATCTCGTAAAATATATTTCATTTTATTAAAATTAATATCGATAAAATATGTGGAAAATTATTGTAACAATTTAACCAGATTACACACTAACTTTTCCTTTAATCTTGTTACCTATGTAATTCATTTAAACGCAAATTAAAATCATTTATAATTCTAATAGTTTAGAACGGTTTATTAAATAAACTTTATTTAATCACCTATCCATAGATTATTATATATAAATCACTTTTGCAGTATTTGAAATATGCTGAAAACTTACACTTTATAACGACATTATTTGATGGCTTATTCGTAAAAATAATTTTTCAAATTTACAACTTTTTTCAAAATGAAAACATAATGGTTTAAATAAGATTTTAACTAGTTTAGTTCACCGCCTATCCTTAATAATTATTTAATAATTTTTTGTTGTTGTAAATATAATGTATGAATGTATGTTGTTATAAAATAGATAAACAAGCACATAATTAGTACCTGGATGAGTTGGTTGATGTTGTTATATCCCTTGGAATCGGCATTTATTAATGTTTTTAATTCTTGAATAATACTTTCATAACGAGTCGAGTCTGAGATTATATAATATAGAAATGATATCACATTTGATTTGAAAAGTTTTTTAAATCTCTGTTTGAATTTCATGAGTAAAAAGTTTTGGTTAATTGCAGTTAACATAACATTTGAATAACGATTTAATATTCACGATTGAAAACACTTTTGGTAAAACATATTAAAGTTATGGCAATAAGTATTTGTATAAAAGAGTAAATCAAGTTTACATCATTTGAACACTCGTTAAACACAGTATTGAAAACCAAAGTCCATAACCTGTTTGTCTGTCAATGAATTTGCTCTCAATTAGTGGCGAAAACACATAAGAAATATTTAAAAAAAAACAATGAATTTATTGTTGTTTTTTCACTCAATTAATTGAATATAAAGTTCACCGAAAGACATGAGACAGAGATTTGAGACAATCTCTCAAAATATAAGTTTTTGTTTTATTTATTTGTTTGCTTTCCATTCACCGAAAGTCAAACACATATTTCTCTAATTAAGACTTTTTAAAACACATTTTGAGAGAAATTTATTAAGTTTTACTATTGTTTTTTTGTAGGCCTTTAGAAAGTAGTGTTCAATAACTGGTGTTTAAGAAATATTTCTCATATTTCTCTGGCAGTCATCTGAAGAGAAAGGAAACGAAAAATAAATTTCTTTCTTAAAATACTCTAAAACAGAGACTAATTATGACTTTAAATGTATACTAAATGAATATCTCATCGACAAAAGGAGTTAAAAATTGCTGCAAACCATTCATTTCTGAGGGAAAGTCCTTCAAAAAATACAGCATTTGTTTTAATGTTTGTTTGGCTTATGTTTTGTCTAAAATAAAATACTTGAGACACGTTTTGCAAGTTTTTCAAAACTCATAATCAAAAAAGCGTGTAATGAATGAGCTTTTAATGGATAGAAATAAAACAATTTTCATTCAAATTATCTGTTGATTAATCTGTTTCTGAAAGCAAATGATTTTCATTAGACATAAAACTTTTTTAGACTTAAATTTATCGATTGAATAATTGAATGATAGAAATATTTATTTATAAAATTGTTGTAATGTTTAGTGTAATTGAATTAATTGTTAGTTATATTCAATGTTTTCTATCTAGATTTATTTATATTTTTTGAAATATAATTTATGATTCTGTTTTAAATAATATATTATGCAAAACATGTGAGCCATTAATGTAACCTTAAAGTAATGTTAAATAAATATGAATAAAAAATTTACTTAATTTTGTTGAAAAGTAAAATATGTTTTTAACAAATAAACGCTTAAAATGTTTAGAAAAATTGGCGTTAAATTAAAAATTGATTTTTTTCTTTGAGTAAAGAGTCTTTACTAAAGACTTTCATTAGTTTTGTTGTAAAAACAACTCAATTATTAACCGCATTATTGAATTGAAGAGAGATTTCATTTTTGAATGAGACCTCGTTTTGCCAAAAAGATTGTACGGATTTGTTGTATAACTAATTATTGTAGACATTAATGTGACCTAAAATTAATTGTTTTGTTATTTGAATGAGTTTTTCATCAGAGAGAGAGAGAGAGAGAGAGAGAGAGAGAGAG